TTGAAAGTCTATGGATAGACCTTAAAAGAGCAGTGCGTGACAGACAGCCCAGAAATCTCAAAGAACTGGAAGACTTTTGTAAGGAAGAATGGGCAAAGATACCTCAAACAAGAATTGAAAGACTCTTGGCTGGCTACAAAAAGCGTTTTACAAGCTGTGATACTTGCCAAAGGGGGCAGTACAAGATATTAACTCTGCAGGGTGCCCAAACTTTTGCAGACGCCATTTTTTTGTTTTCTGTTATTTTGAAAGTGTAAATGATGGAAATAAAATCTAACTTTTGTTGACATATTATAAGAATGTCTAATCTGTAATTTGATGCCTTTTGGAGATTTTTCCATCTTTCCTTGGCTTCTTTATGCACATTAATACAAATTTTTAGCTGGGGTGCCCAAACTTTCGATTCCCACTGTAGATACAATATACTGTAGCAACCAGGCCTTGTTTATCTGCAACAGGCCTAATAGGGAAAAAACAGTTAACAAAGAACTTGGCAGAAAAATAAGACATGCATATACATGACTCCATCAATGCAAATGGCACATTTTTGTCAGGAGAATGGCTTTAAGGTTTTTTTAAAAGTAAAAACCACATTACAATCTGACATATAAAATGTCATATACTCTAATAATATATGTAGCACACATGTTGGTGTAGTTTTAGGGATTATGCGGGTCCAGCTCCTACCTGACTTTGTTGACACCCCAGTTCCCATATGAATACATATATATGCAATATACTGTAGCAACCAGGCCTTGTCTAAATGAAACAGGCCTAATGGGGAAACAACTTAACAAAGAACTTGGCAGAAAAGACAGACACAGGTTGCATATACATGACTCCATCAATGCAAATGGTACATGCAAATTTCTTCAGGCAGCATAACAACTGCAATCTCATTTAGCATTAACCACTTTCACTTTGTTAAAGCCAAAGCACAATGTCTTCTAGAATGCTGTACAGCAATATAACAGAAAAGGGACCAACACAATTATTTGCTGTATTTTATAGTTGTTTGTCATTGTAGCCTAGATGCCCAGAACTAATTTAGCAGCTTTCTTATGCATTGGGTAACTTTATAAAAGCTCTATGATTAATTTTCCTACCTAAAAAAGTTTGATTTTTTTTTTTTTAAAATGCAGGACACTGCTTTAATAGAAGCATGTTCATTTTTTATAATAAACCCTTAAATATACAACATTTAAAAAAATGTATTTTATTTAATTCATACACAACCCCAAAACGTCATTTTTACTACAATGCATATTAGGCTAATAAGAGAAACGTACATTGTTTGCGACCACTTCAGAACCTACCCCTGTATGAGTCTCATGGATCACACCAATTCTTACATTTCTAATATAGTTTTCTTGATTTGTCAATATTTTTTTCATCACTTAAAGTGACATTAAAGCCAATTTTGTTTTTGAGTTGTGTACATTCTCTTGCTATTCTTTTTGGAAATGTCTCCTTTGTTCTTGCTCTGCTACCTGTGCTCCAACTTCAGGTATGTGGGGGGCCCTGTGCCCTCTGGGACCTATAAAAACTTGCCAGAGTCTCCAGTTCGTGCACACTCCTGTTTAGCACTACATCCTTACATGCAGCTATTCCCCTCATGCACATACAGGCAGCGCAAGAGAGACAGCATACTCAAGAGACAGCATACTCAAGAGCTGCTGTCAATCACCATTGTGGAGGGGGAGAATTAGGCTGGGAACAAGTGCCACCATTTTTTTTTTCGTTGGTTCCCAAATAAATTTGGGATGTCATGTACAGTTGGTATATCAAATGACCATATGACACAACCTAATCAGATCTACAGTTTTAATTGCTTTGATTGATTTTGAGGCAAAGGGAATGTTTGCAAAATGCAGTTTTACCTATCCCCATACTCCACCCTCGTTGATTTGCCTTTTTACTCTAGGCTAAATCTAGGCTCCTTCAGCGTTTCCTACAACGGCGCCACCTCCTCTTCCCTCCCCCTCTCTGTTGGGGTCCCCCAGGGCTCTGTCCTTGGACCCCTTCTCTTCTCCATCTACACCTCCTCCCTCGGCAAACTCATACACTCCCACGGCTTCAACTACCACCTCTATGCTGATGATACTCAAATCTACCTATCCACCCCTCACCTCACCCCCACATTCTCCGCCCGCATCACTCACCTCCTAAACGACATCTCTGACTGGATGTCGCTCCATTTCCTCAAACTCAACCTCTCCAAAACCGAGCTTCTCGTCTTTCCCCCTTCCCGTGCCCCCCCCCCCCATCCTTTCCATCACTACCAACAACACCACCATCAATCCCGCCCAGCAAGCCAAGGTCCTTGGCGTCATTCTGGACTCAAACCTTTCCTTCCAACCTCATGTCAAATCACTCACAAATACATGCAGGCTCCACCTTCGCAACATCGCCAAAATACGCTCCTTCCTTACCCCAGACACCACTAAACTACTCGTTCACTCCCTGATTATCTCACGCCTTGACTACTGCAACTCCCTCCTCATCGGCCTACCCCAGTGCAAACTCTCCCCGCTTCAGACCATCCTGAACTCAGCTGCCAGACTCATCCACCTCACCAGCCGCTCCACCTCTGCCACCCCCCTCTGCCTCTCCCTCCACTGGCTCCCCATTGCCCAACGCATTAAATTCAAACTGCTCACTCTGACCTATAAAGCCATTCACAACACTGCCCCTAACTACCTCACCGACCTGATTCCCAAGTACCACCCTACCCGTACCCTTCGCTCTTCACAGGACCTCCTTCTATCTTGCTCCCTGGTCTCCTCCTCCCACGCACGACTGCAAGACTTCTCCAGGTCCTCCCCCATCCTCTGGAACTCACTACCCCAATCCATCAGACTGTCACCTTCCCTCCTCACCTTCAGGCGCTCCCTGAAAACCCACCTCTTCAGGGAAGCCTACCCCACCCTCATCTAACAGCCGCTGCCCTTCCCTCCTCCTACCACTCCATCCCCCACAGCCGTTTCCTCCTGTACCTCTACCCCCTCCCCCTCCTAGATTGTAAGCTCGAAAGAGTAGGGCCCTCTTACCCCTTGTGTGCTGTTTGATGTTACTGTACTGTTTCATGTATTGTCCCCCCTCTATTGTACAGCGCTGAGCAAACCCTTTGGCGCTATATAAACGCGATAAATAAATAAATAAATAAATAAATAAATAAATCTTAACGTATAGTAGTAGAACTTCATATACATTTTTTTTCCACCAAATCCTTTTTTTATACATTTTTAGTGCATCCGTCAGCATAGCATCCAAATCAAAAAATACCACAAGAATAAAGTACAGATAGAGCACATAAACTTACAAATCATAACCGACTACAGCAAATATCCAGAGTCATAAGGAAGAGAAAATGATGTTAAATAAATGGAAGATACAACTACACTTAGCATAGGGAGTTATAATAAAGCTCTGAATGCTGTAAAGTCGAAGCACCTTCAAAGAGGAACCAACAGCTGACCGTTAAGATTTCCACAAGTAGGTATAGCTTCCAAAATGAAAAACAAGGATTAGAAATGCAAATGCTTAAATAATTATTTTTCAACTTTTAACAAAAGCAAAAGGAAAATGGAAAACAAAAAAATAAAAGGGGGTCTCCCAATTTGAGGAAAACCTGATAGCTGGGAAAAGGAAAATAGAGAAGGAAAAAAAAGGTAGTTGGGGGAACGATTCAGGGGGGGGGGATAGGGAGAGGAACCACCAAATACCTTTATTTTACCATCCTATTAATATGAATTTTTCTGTTCACGAATTGGAAGTATTTCTATTTTGCATTTTGTTGTGGATGTAAAACTATATTAAGGTCAGAGAATTGAACACTATGGCTGGGACAGAATGAACATATAGTATTGATTTCTAAGGCAAGCGTTTCTCATATCTAATAGAATCGAATAGAATCTGCCCAGCTGGCTCTTGTATTCAGACAGCCACAGTGCCCACAGCATAATTTTCCTTTCCTGACAAGCTCCATGTCAGCACAATTCCCACCCAGTTTGGTAGGACTAGTTACAGAATGCTGAGGCTGCAGGTGGGCTCAAATTTATGAGTTAGGTCCTGGAAGCATTGGGGTTGGGGCTCTTAACCAGCTGTGCTGACATGGAGCTTGTCAGGAAGGAAAATTACAGTAAGTATCTGTCATTCAATTTTCTGTTTTTCAGCATCACTGACGCACTATTCCTTGTGTTGAGATATCTATCTTAGTAGGAGAGCAAGACTTTTCTTGCTCACTTTAAAGCTGCCCCACTGATGACTGGTGGGGGGGTAATGATCAAGAAGTAGCAAAAGAGGTTGAGAAAGCACAGATCCACAGAATAAATGAAGAAGAAGCAGGTAGATGTTTGCACTAAAGTTCTTCAGGTACAGCTTTCTCTCCAGCAAGGGGAATAGGGAGCAGCACAGTACTGACAACACCAAATTTCACTCCATACCTCATGAGATTAGCAGTCAGAGACTTGGATGATCTCACACTGCTGTTACTCAGCAGTACAGAAGTATCCAATGCACTGCTATCCAAAGCAAAAGGTAGATTTTCAGAATATTACTATAATTTCTATACAAACCCTTATAAGTCAGAATGTCTTCACTTTTTTGCATTAAATGTGGTATACCAATACATACTGTATGTATATAATGCAGGAAGAGATCACTGTTTTTTTCTGTATAGGTTGCTGAATAAGTACATTTTGAAAGAACTGTTCTTATGCTCTATTGTGAAAGTTCAGGTACATATGCTTGACGGTATTTCTCTCGCATAACCATAAGCAAACATTTTTTGGCATGCTGTAGCACTGGGTGTGCAATTATAACCTGATGTTATTTAGAGTGACAAATCTTCTAACAATTGTTCATTGTCTCAGATCAGGTCAAACATCTTTTTAGAAAATGGGAAAATTATCACGAGCTACAATATCGCCTTTATTTTAGCAGTTAATCTTCTCCTTTTCTTTTTTGAACATTTTAATATATTGCCTATTTTTCATTCCACCACAGATGGGCTGACTGCATTTAGAGATTTCTTGAAGTCAGAATTTAGTGATGAAAACATAGAGTTTTGGTTGGCCTGTGAGGACTTCAAAAACACCAAAATACCAAGCCAACTTTCTGTTAAAGCAAACAAAATATATTGTGAATTCATCAAAACTGAAGCTCCAAGAGAGGTAAAGTATAATCAATGGAAATAGGACATTTTACAAATTTTTACAAACATTTCAAAAAGGAACAGAAAAAAAGTTGACCACTGTTATGAATAATTGCTTATCAACCTAAACATTTACTATAATATTTAAAAGCCAATTGTAAACATTACATTAAAAAAAAAAAAGTTTTCCCTAAAATAAACTATAAAATAAGGACTAACGTTTTACAGATCTATATGTAAAACTATATATTCTGTATTCTATACCTGCAAAAACGAAATATTTTATCTTTTTTTCTGCAGGTCATTGATTGTTGGCAAAAAGTAACTTATATGGGTTTTCCACTTTCGTTGTACTATGTACAGTAAGGGGAAAAAAAAAAAATTTACAAAATGTTTACTTTAACCTCCCTGACGGTATTCCCGAGTGTAGCTCGGGGTAACATTTCAGTACCAAAAGCGGTAACCCCGAGCTACACTCGGGCTTACCCTGCGGCACTGCTCCGGCAAGTGTTCTTCACTTACCTTACCCTGCGCTCCCACGATGTGTCCCCTGCAGCGTCCCCGGCCATCTCCTCCGGCCGATGCCGGCATCCGGCTTCTGTGTCCTGTCCCTGTGACGTCGGGACGTACGGGCGCCGCCGCCGCCGGCGGGAAATTTAAAAATTTTAAAAAATGTCATTTTTTTTTTTTTTTACATTTTACACAGTAAAACATTGCTGTTTCAACCTATTTCACATACATATTGTCCCTAGTGCTTTGTCCTGCGCCCTGCCTGCATTTTGTCTGTTCTTTCTGCCTGGAAACTGAGAAATGTCCATGGCGTCCAAAAAGTGTCCCTTTAGGTCAAAAGCGGTTTAGACCGGCTAGAGAACAGCGATAGTAAATTAGAACCACTTTCAGAATTGAGTGATAATGATTCGTGGGGGAAATTCGTCATCAGAAACTGAAAACGATTTTGCGACTGAGCTCAGCAATGTGCGAACTTGGCGCTCTATTTCACATTTCAGTGTTTTTGGTTTAATTATATTATTGAATTAAATTTTTTTATTATTTTTATATTATTTTTATGATTATTTATTAAATTATAATTTATGATTTTGTGTTTCAAATTTTATCATACCCGGGATGTTTACTAGACTCTTGTTCGGACAGATTTCAGTGAGTTTTTCCTAAAAATTACAGCCTACAATAAAAAAAATACATATTTCCATGCAAAAAAATGGTACCGCTTTCAGCACCCAAAAATCTGAAATAATCATACCGCCAGGGAGGTTAAAGAGGTCCTGTCCCCAAGGCTTAATCATAATTTTTCCATTCTTTACCTACTATTGCTGTATCCAAGTAGTGTTCCACCTTTAATCTCCTGCACTGAAAATGCTGCCTGCGTCCTTCTGGGCACCACCATCTTGTCTCTATGTTTTAGCCTGTCAGTCTAATTACGTTGGAATCTTGCATGTGGAGGTATGATCTTTACTGGATGCCTGTTCAGGGTGTTCTGTTTGTTTCTAGGAAGCTTTCGAATTAAAGTCCTACACAAAGGACATGTTTGACACTTTTGACATGTTGGTAAACTTTTAAAACATTATAATATGGTACTGTCAAAAAAAAAAGAAGCTCACAAACGATGCTAATGGAGTTGCATGACGCTGGGTGCTTTTGCTCTATTTTTTTTTCAGTAAACATTCCTATAGCTTTTAAATCGGTTGTGGCTACTAATACCATCAGCCAATGTAGGCCTTTTATCTCTTGATAAACAAAATCTGACAAATAGCTTGCCTAGTAGCCTTAAAAATGGCCAGAATTTTATATCAAGATTTGCCCCCATTAGACTACAATGGAATTTACTGCTACATTTGGGTTTCACAAACATCAAACAGGATTCAACATAATACGAATTTACCATGGGCAGATTCGCGCATGCCTAAAAATAGCCTTTGGTATCTCTCTGCCTTAACACTACCAGTTTCATCATTACAAAATCAAGCATATTTCTAAGCAATCTTCACTCAGTCGTAAGTACAATCAGTAGTGCAATATACATGATGGTCCAGCCATATCCACCACTTGTATTTCCCTTTCTAACCTCAGATGGCAATACTGGCACTGGGATACTGACATTGTAATCAGTTTTGTCACCCTTGCATCTTCATTCCCCCTGTCTTGCTGTCATCACCTCTCTCCACACATTGCAGCATTTGCCTTCTATATACTCTGCTTACAGCTACATGCGCAAGAGAAGTGATCACTAACAATTACATCTCCATTACACGCTTATACTGGCAGAAAAGATCAGTAATCATGAGATATGGAGCTCATGCTGTCCACTGCATACCACACATATCATGGCAGAGTAATGTGTATGCACTGTGCTGAGGAATAGTGGTCCATCAAATGCAAGCCAAAATTTAAGAAATGAAAGCACCTTGCATCATCAGAACCCTAATCCACAGAGCAATGTACAAAAACTTATAAATTGTATATTGTGTTTTAAAATCTGCAGTTTTCACTACAATAAAAACCTTGTGACCCTGCCATGAAGTTCTTTTTTCTGGCACTTCTTGTTATAAGGTGACAACACTCGCACTCATGTTCCTGCACTGTCAACCTGCTCAAACACTTGTTTCCTATAGAGACTACAGGTGACTCTTTCTATATATTAGGCATGTTGTCATTAGAAAGCCCACCCAGAGAAATGCCATGCATCCATTGCTAGAACACATTAATATAAACTGGAAATAGCGCCAAACACATTAATGTGTGTTATTGTAATCGCTGTGCGCAATGCGTTGTGTATGTGTTGTGGTGCATTGCCATCCACTTTCACTGTGATGCACATACATGGTGTAAGCTAAAATAGAACTGCCCCCCAGCACACCGCGATGCATGTAATAAGGAAGAAATGTGTTTCCTTACATTTTTTTGGCCAGTGGATGTGAGTTGAGGGCCCACTGAAGATGAAAGACCAATGTGCATTGACATGCCAAAAATCAAATGCATAAGTGTAAATGGGCCCTAAGGATTATACAGAAAGTTCTGTTAACTTATCATTTGTATGAATAGAGGTAAAGTGGATATAAACCCGAGAACAAAAATGTAATATATTGCAGTTTATCAGCTCTTGAATGTGATGAGTGCACTGTTCTTGTTTTCATGTTTGTTTCCTTTATTTTCACCTGTTGATCCTTCCAGTAACTTTCTTCTTGTCCTAGCATGACAATACTCTCTCATCTAAAGCTAGACATACAAGCATAGATTTCTCTTGTTCAGCCTGTGGGCTGAACAAGAGAAATATATTAGATTTCTTCATCTACCCTGAATACACTGGATCGAGGAAAGTTCCCTGTCAACTACTGTATTCAGACAGCAGCTGTCTTAATGCCCCAACAGTGGCTGCATCTGATAGTATGCAGTCACTGTTCAGCTAAAAATTTTCCATCTGACGCCTTCAATTTTCCACTTGATGTTTGTAAAGCCAGGTGGTCCTGACACAGCCACCCATGTCTCTAATGTGAGCTACGTATGGCCAGCTTTACTGGAGAATGGGGATGCAGCCTTATACCCAAGGTCAGGACTACAGAAACCTCACCCTCTCTTCCTCCTTACAACAGAAGAGGGCAGGGGATCTGTAGTCCTCAGAGATAACTTGGAACAATGTAAGTGATAAGACTCAAGCACAGGAAGATATCTGGCAAGATCAAGTGGTATTTTTGGCATATTTAACACACCAAAAAGGACCAAATAACTAAAGTTAATTGTTAGGTTAAAGCATTATTAAACCCAAAACCACAAATGTATTGTATTGCATCTTACCATTCATTATTTGTGATTGGCTTTTACCCCTTCTGTTTTCGCCAGGTGATCTGGCCAGTAACACACCTCTTGTATTAGTGAGACACAACACTGGAAGAGTGAGATAGGAGGGACAGCAGACAGCACCATTGTCATTCTGGGGGGAAGAGAGGGTTAAATGTATTAGCAAATTTAGATACACTAACAAATGGAAGCCAAACTCCAGCTCACACTTTATACAGCATGGGTGCTCAACCTGTGGCCCTCCAGCTGCTGCGGAACTAAAAGTCCCATCATACTTCTGCCTTTGGGAGGCATGCTTGTAACTGTCAGCCCCTGTCAGTGTTAATTGGTTTGTCTCATTTGTGCAAACTGATACATTCTGCTGGAGAGCTGGAGAGCTTGTGCTTCTAAAAAGCAACAGACTTGCTGGCTGGTTCACCAGATGAAAATAAAAGAAAGAAATCCCAAAAAAGGAAACAAATGCAGCTATCACATCTATGAATTTGTAATATGAAATATAATAAATGTTTGCTTCTAGGTTTAATACTGCTTTAAGTTTAGGTTCACACAGATGTTTAGCCTAGCGTTAATTCATATTTCAGATGTGCTTCAGAGGTGTTTAGGAAGAGCTTTCTGAAGCACTCCAAATGAGGTTAAAGCAAGGTAAGAGTCTTGCCACAACACTCCGCAAACGTCTTGCAAATGCCTTAGGAGCTTTTAGATAGACATATGTGATATGAATCAAAATTCAGACGAAATTTTCGTTATTTGGAGATTCAGATGGATCCCAATTTCCACATCACAATAATTATGAATTTCAATGAATCCAAAAAAATCATAATGCAACAAATTATCTGAATTTGGATTTGGACATGAATTTGAAAATAAATTTGAAATTTAAATGGAAACATATTGCACTAAATACAGTAAGGTATAAAAGTGAAATAAGATGATTCCTACTTATGCTGCTTTATAAAAAATAGAATAGAAAAGAACAGAATAAAATAGAATAGAACAGAAATGAAAATAATAGAACAGATTAGAATAGAAAACAAAAGCATAGAATAAAACAGAATATGTGCCACTGCACAGACATCCATCCCACTTAGCATACCTTATACTAAACCTCCCTCAACGCTTTCCTCTTTTGACCTTGCTACTCCTGAAGAGGTCACTAAGGTTTTCTCAGAAGCCCGTCTCACTACCTTCCCCCTGGATCCTGTCCCC